ATGTGCGTGTGTGTGTGTATGTGTGTGCGGGTGCGTGTGCGTGTGTCCGTGCCAGCAATATCTCAAGAACCGGCTATTTGTTGGTTTTTGATGAAACTTGATGCATAGATGCTCTGAGCAAATGCACAGATTTGATTTAGTTTTGGTTGAAATCCATGCATATTAATTACCTAATATGCATGATAATTGCTAATTTTAAGCTGTTCCATGACTGTTCTACACATATCCAAAGAACCACTAATTTGATTTTGATGAAACTTGATGCATAGATGTTCTGAGCAAATGCACAGATTTGATTTAGTTTTGGTTGAAATCCATGCATATTACTGGATTCTGCGGTAAATTCGCGGCTGGTGGGCCCTTATTTGGAGTTCAAATTTTCAAAAAATTATCATCAAATATTTTTAGGAGGCTTATATTTTCATTGAAAAATCCACCTACGCCAATTTCAACACCGGCAGTTGGACCACCCAAAACGATAGAAATTATTGCAGAAGATAATCTAAAATTGTATACATTTTTTTTTAGCTGGATTAAAAAGTAGACCGCGCATCTTACTCCAAAAAAATCACATTAATGAACCTCGTGTGCCAAATACAATTATTTTATTAGTAACGAAAGTATGTTCTAAAAGAAGTTTCAAATAACAACGAACACAACTGCATTGCTTAGTAGCAAATGATCGTGGAAGCGCAATCTGGTCATGCTGCGTTTTACAAATGTTGATTATTACCTAGTAATGATTATAATAACGTACAAAAAATAAATTTGTTGAATTGTTATGAAATGCAAATAAATTTCAACTTATTCCAACTTAAGCGAATGATTCCGATCGCATTTTCAACACTCAATGCTGTGGAAATGAATATCCGCCATGTTTTGATCTGAAATGGTGTTCTTTGATCCGACAGGTCAAATCGATAATTAACCAATGAAAACGATGGATGATGCCAACGTGTTCAAATTACCATAGCTCATTTAAATATGTTAATGTTATTGAACTCGGCATAGAAGAGATTTGCCGATGTTGTTGTATGATCTTTTAGCTTAGATTTTGATGGAAAAGCGGCATGATTTGTTTTTAAATAAAAAAATTAGTTGTTTTCAAAAGATAAACTGAGCATTTGAAGAACAATTTAACATTGTTTACAGCGGTATCAGCTCATTGTCGAAACGAAGCTAACCCATTCACGCTATTCACAATAAACATCAATACTCTTGAATAGGCGTCAATGACTACGGCGAAACTTTTAGGCATCAGAAAAGATTCAAATAACACCTTTAAAAACTGTTGAAAAATCGCCCTGGGCGGTTTCTTGGTCCCATTTTATTTTTTTAAAAACCCGAACTGCTGTTTAACGGCCCTGGGCGAATTTACGACATAATCCAGTAATTTCCTAATATGCATGATAATTGCTAATTTTGAGCTGTTCCATGACTGTTCTACAAATATCTAAAGAACCACTAATTTGATTTTGATGAAACTTGGTACATAGATGCTCTTGGACTTATTTGATTAGTTTTGGGTGAAAATCAATGCATAATAATTATCTAATTTAATGATTGGTTAACTTTTGGCTTTTCTCTTGATATCTCAAGTACCACACACATTTCAATGAAACTTGGTACATAGATTGTCTGTGAAATTGAGCAGACCCGTTTTACATTAAAATTTGTACATATTAATTACCTGTTTTGCATAATAATTATTCAGTTTTCAGCTTGTCAAATTGATATCTTAAGTCCTTATCATCTTTGCACATAATTATTTTCCTGTTTGCTTCAGTAATACTATTCTGTGTTGAGGTTGTACTGTACTTAGCTCACAGTTCTATAGACAACAGTTTCAATCTGCAGATTGGGTTGACACACTGGATTTTATTTTCACTGACTTAGCAAAATAGCAAAATTAATAAATTGTGTAAAAATAAATATATTTCTATCTGATATCATGTATTCTTAGATCTGATTAATACTTGAGGCATTGTGGGTAATATTCTTTACATGCAAGCCATACGTTGTAGGTTATTTTGTACATAATTGCCTGGCCTTTAATTAATCTTTTTTAATTGCAGAAATGTTCATATTTGGTTTCCTGACATTTGCACTAGTGTTCTTTATCATATTTGCTGCAGCTACTGATTGGTCACATTTGGGTATGTATATTTATCTCCTGAAATGTATTGTTGATGTATTTGAATACTAGTTCAATAGATAATAATGCAATAATACAGTAGTATTGCTCTAGCAAATTTCTAAATCGCCCCATTTAAAATTTTTTGAAAATGTATTTCTTTTGGCATTTTTACATGTGAATAATAAAAGTTCAGGACTTGACAGGAAGAGTTGGTTAACAATTCCAAACATTAATGTAATTCTTGTCTTTCCTACTGTCAACGTGGGTAAAAAAAATGTTTTATTTCTTATTGACAACACCTTGCCTTGGGTTGACCCTCTCTCAGATTTGTTGATTTTCATTGCAACTTTAATGAATAAATTAAAAATATATAATATTCCTAACGTCTTTTTGAAAACCATAGATCAGTGTCAGATTTATTTTGATTTCTTCCTCTATCTGATTAATTCATCTTGTGTTGATAACTGAAATTTCCTTATTTCAGTGAGATACTGAGATTTTTCTATCTTGAAAATGGCTAGACTGTTTGATTTGACATTCATTTTGTCATTATGCATCTGAAACAGTGGAGCTATATCAGCTGACTGGCTGTTTGTTATCTTGTTTAAGACAGACAATATATTATATTTTTCAGTTGATGTAAATGCAATAAACTTCATCATATAATGTGTAATTAATAACTGAAGGACTCAAAAATAGTTCTTTACTTTCTGAAAACAAATTGTTATCACATGTTAGACCCCAGCCCAATTATAAGAATTGCTGTGTTTTCATCGTAGCCAACTATTATCTTCCCAGTTCGCCTGATATTAACAATGGTGTGTGCTTTACTTGGTGGATGTCTATTATTACTGTATTGGTGGAGATTTGGCTCTGTTGTATTCTGTGTCTTAATAGTGGGTATGGATCTAGGCTATTTGTTTGCCTCCTTGGTTTTCTTCACACCATTTGGTAAGTCTATTTGATATTAGGCAAGCTCTCTTTTATGTGATGAAGCACTTCTGTAATGTGATGTAAAAATGATGTAAAATGAAAGAAATGATAACAACAACTTTGTTTGATTGTCTACTTATTTGAATCATAGTGAATCTCTCAAAATTGATTGACAACTACTGATTGAATCAATATTGACGCTTTGAACTGCTTTTCATTCACCCTATCACATCACAGAAGTGCTTTATTGTAAGAGGTAAATAGTAAAAATGTATTATAGCTGCCATTCAGACAGTATTAGTTTATAGGCACAGTCCGAAAACAGGGACTTATGTTTTGTACTCAGTGTGTGTGTGTGTGTGCGTATGTATGTGTGTGTGTGCGCGCGCGAATCCACCTGTTGGACATGCCTGGTCCGATCACATTCAAACTCCACAAATAAATAACTTATCTTGGTCATTTGTGTCGTTAAACGACTCAAGATGGCTGAATAGCAGCTATTTTTGTGCTAATGATTTATCAAAAGTAAGCATTACTGCCATTCTGGAACTGGATCTTGGCCGACTGGTGGCCATTTTGTTATTAGTGAATGCAGTTTTGATGACATATCTCTGAAATTCTCTGTTCATGTTCAAACTATATATATTAAACTTGAGAACTCAAGGTGACTATGTAATGCAATTAGTTGTGTTTTCCAAGTTTTATTGCTGTTGAAACACATATAAACAGTATGACATAAAGAAAATACCAGCATATACTGAAAATTGTCAAACAAGAACATATTGTTCTTTTTGGAATACAGCCTCCACCCAATTCTTAATACCAGTGGGTCATATGTCATCACATAACTCCAATGGATCTGCTGTAAACCATGGTAACACTTTATGCAGGATTGAGGTGATTTCATGAGAGGTCGATTTCATGAGTTTAGAAAAATCATGAATTTCGCATGTTTGAAAATATGACTGGAATTTTTCTGTTAGAGTCACCAAACTTCATGAATTTGACCTTGTCAATGCCCTCAAACAGTTGATTTTCAATTCACTGTGAGATCTCTGTAATGTGTGAACAGAGCGATTCAAACATCCACTGTAAAAATCGAAAGACTTTGAATTCCATTTTTGTTATAGTTCAGTATAAATATGCTGATCTTACTCATACTTCTTAAAACTGACCATCATCAAATATGTATAGCAGATTAATAAGCATGGAAATGCCCCCAAAATACTTTCATATTTGTCAATCGTATCCCTCATGATTTTTTGACACAACTACAATGCTATGACCTTCGTTTATGCAAATTTTAACATTCAATTTCACATGTAACATGAGGTCTCACAGAGAACAGAAAATGGTCTATTAAAACATTGTGAATACTTGCTGGCATTGTTTTATCTTATTTTTTTAGGAAACCTGTCTGTCTGGCAAAGTAATGTCAACTATGGTTTAGCATTCACATGTTTACTCTTGCTTCTACCAGTTATACTGATATACTTTACTAAACAGGTACAGTTTGCATGCTTAATTTTACCCTATTTGGTGAACATGTCAGTATGGATTCTGGCATTTTATGTTTCAAATTCACAACTTTTATCTGTCAAAGAGGAAAACAAAGTTTTTAATGTTCAATTACATTGATGTGCATCAGATGCCAATTAAAAAATGGTCTTAAAGTAACCTAACTTTGATTAAAATCTGCAATTATATTGAGAGTTGTTTGATTTATGATTAGTATTCTTAGTAAAATAAATTACCCACTGTACTCAAGTTAATGCTTGAGAACAAAAATAACAACTGAAAACGTTATCATAAAATATAAAATTTTATTTTTACTGACTTATCCTTCAGTAAAAATATCAAAATCAATATATTGTGTACTAGTACATTTCTAACCAAGATTTCCAATGATATCATGAAGAAAATTTTAAGGCCTGGCAAGATTTATCGGATATTACTTAACCCTTATCCTGCAAGCTCAATGTACTTTTACATCGACTTG